TTGTTTGCAGACATTTCGCTGCGGGGCTGAGGCTCAGCTGCCCCGGCCGGGGGGGTCCGGCTGCTGCTGCTGGAGCATCCCCAGGCTCCGGGGACAGACAGAGCCCAGCAGGAGCAGCCCAGGGCAGGGATGCTGCAGAGCCAGGGCAGATTGTCCCCGGCAGCGCAGGGGACACAGGGGACGAGCGCAGGAGGGTTCCCATCCTTTGGGAATCCCATCTGGTAAAATCCCCCTGCCCAAAAGCAGCGGGGGCAGCTCGGGGGGAGCTCGGAGGGGATCGGTGCTCACCCGGCTGGGGCAGCGCTGGGCAGCGGAGCGGGGACAACGGGGAGGGACCCGCAGGGATCCAAAACCCAACTGGGGAGGGATCTGCAGGGATCCAAAACCCAGCCTGGGGAGGGATCTGCCAGGGTGTAAAACCCAGCCTGGGGAGGGATCTGCCAGGGTGTAAAACCCAGCTTGGAGAGGGACCCGCAGGGATCCAAAACCCAATTGGGAGAGGGACCTGCTGGGGTGTAAAACCCAATTTGGGGAGGGACCTGCCAGGATGTAAAACCCAGTTGGGAGAGGGATCTGATGGGATCCAAAACCCAGCCTGGGGAGGGACCTGCAGGGATCCAAAACCCAGCCTGGGGAGGGATCTGCAGGGATCCAAAACCCAGTTTGGAGAGGGATCTGATGGGATGTAAATCCCAGCCTGGGGAGGGACCTGCCAGGGTGTAAAACCCAATTTGGAGAGGGAGCTGCCGGGGTCCAAAACCCAGCCTAAGGGGTGTAAAACCGAACCTGGAGAGGGGGGACCTGCCGGGGATGTAAAACCCAGTTTGGGAGAGGGACCTGTAGGGATCCAAAACCCAATTTGTAGAGGGATCTGCTGGAGTTTAAAACCCAGCCTGGGGAGGGACCTGCAAGGATCCAAAACCCAGCCTGGGGAGGGACCTGCCGGGGTGTAAAACCCAATTTAGAAAGGGATCTGCTGGGGTTTAAAACCCAGCCTGGGGAGGGACCTGCAGGGATCCAAAACCCCATTTGGAGAGGGACCTGACGGGCCATAAAACCCAGCCCGGGGAGGGATCTGCCAGGATCCAAAACCCAGCCTGGACAGGGACCTGACGGGCTATAAAACCCAGCTTGGGGAGGGATCTGTCAGGGTACAAACCCAGCCCGGGGAGGGACCTGCCAGGATATAAATCCCAGCTTGGGGAGGGATCTGCTGGGCTATAAAACCCAGCCCCAAGGACACCGAGAGACGGGGCTGGGACACGCTCACCTGGATGCTCTCCTTGGGATGAAAACGCCGAAGGGATGCACCCTCTGTAGCGTTTTCTGCTGCTTTCAAGGAGAATTTCTTTCTCCCCTCGGATTTACCTGAGCAGAGGATGCAGAAGGCGAGCAGTGCAGGGAGAAACGGGGATTTGAGGATGTTCAGTGCAGACGAGAGAGGTATCAAGGGGTGAGCCAGGGGCTCCTGCACCTCTCTGCTCCACAGGAACATTTTCAGGCCAGGCAGAGGGGGAATTGCAGCTGCCAAACGCAGGGCTGGTGTGACCAGGCAGGGCAGAGGGGCTGGAGCTCAGGGACACAGGGAAGGGGACAACAGGACATCAGGAGCTCTGTGTGCCCGCAGAGGGATGGAGCTGGGCTGGGGCTGGAACAGCTCCCACCAGCGCCCACCTGGGCACGGCCAGGGGCTGCTGAGGCTGGCAGGGGACCCCAACCTGACGGTGCTGCACACCCGGGACGAGGAGCTGGCCAAGGCCGAGGTGGGGGTGCTGGGCACCATCCTGGCCGTGGCCACCGTGGGCAACCTGGGCGTGCTGTTGGCCATGTACCGGCTGAGGAGGAAGATGAGCCGCATGCACCTCTTCATCCTGCACCTGGGGCTGAGCGACCTGGGTGTGGCCCTGTTCCAGGTGCTGCCCCAGCTCCTCTGGAAGGTCACCTACCGCTTCCTGGGGCCCGACGCGCTCTGCAGGGCCGTCAAGTACCTGCAGGTGCTCAGCATGTTCGCCTCCACCTACATGCTGATGGTGATGACCCTGGACCGCTACCTGGCCGTGTGCCACCCGCTGCAGTCGCTGCAGCAGCCCAGCCGCCAGGCCTACGCCATGATCGGGGTCACCTGGCTGCTCAGCTGCCTGCTCAGCCTGCCCCAGGTGTTCATCTTCTCGCTGCGGGAGGTGCGCCCGGGCTCGGGGGTGTTGGACTGCTGGGCGGATTTCGGGTACCCGTGGGCGGCGCGCGCCTACATCACCTGGACCACGCTGTGCATCTTCGTGCTGCCCGTGGGCGTCCTCAGCGTCTGCTACAGCCTCATCTGCCACGAGATCTGCAAGAACCTCAAGGGTAAGACCCAGAGCGGCGCCCCAGCCCCGGGGGGAGCCTCGGTGGGCGCCCCTGCTGCCCCCGGCACGGCGGGGAAGGGTGGGCAGCCGTCGCGGGTGAGCAGCGTGCGCACCATCTCCCGCGCCAAGATCCGCACGGTGAAGATGACCTTCGTCATCGTGGCCGCCTATGTCACCTGCTGGGCGCCCTTCTTCAGCGTGCAGATGTGGTCGGTGTGGGATGACGATGCTCCGGATGATGGTGAGTGCTGGGTGAAGAGCCCTGGGGACCCCAGGAGTGAGGTTGGGTTTGTAACGAGTAACAGATTGTCATTTAAATATAAAAATATCATGGGGACGCTACAGATTTCCTCCCCAGTAATGCTTAGGAAATACAATTTGCAGAGTAAATTTGTTCCTTTCAGCAGAAAAAACACCGAGGAGTGATGATTTCTGGCCGTCATCCACAGGGGTGTGCAAAGACAGCTTTGCCACGTGTCTTTTCTCTCCTCCGGGAATTTTCAGAGGTTTCAGAAATGGATTTCTGAGTCCATATGTTGAATTTTTTTCCCTGAAAATCATCAGTAGTTTTCCTAACAGTAGAAGATTGAAAGTCCCCTGGGAGATGCTTTGGGCAGCAAAGAGGCTGAAGGAAAGCCCAGAAGATGTGCTGCAGCACATTCACACTGCAGAGCCTGAAGTGAACCAACGGGAATGGGAGCCAGGAGAGCCCCCAGGTCCTGCCCAGCCCCTGGGGATGTTTCACCTCTCCCTCTTGCCTTGCCAGAGTCCACCAACGTGGCTTTCAGCATCACCATGCTGCTGGCCAGCCTCAGCAGCTGCTGCAACCCCTGGATCTACCTGTTCTTCAGCGGGCACCTCCTGCAGGGCGCCGGGCGCTGCTGGGGCCGGCCCCGGGCTGGGCTGCGCAGACCCAACTCCAGCGGGAGCCTGTGCAGCCGGAAAACCACGATCCTGAGCCACAGCCAGCAGGCCGGGGTGACACTGCACGGGGACAGCGCCAGGGAGCTGTACCCGCCCTGCCACGAGGCTGTGACAGAGTCCGGCACGCTCTAGGGTGTGACAGCGGCGGGTGTGACATTGCTGGGTCATTGCTGACACTGCCATGGCCAGGTGTGACACTGCCAGGTGTGACACTGCCATGGCCAGGTGTGACACTGCCAGGTGTGACACTGCCATGGCCAGGTGTGACACTGCCGGGTGTGACACTGCCACGGCCAGGTGTGACACTGGCAGGTGTGACACTGCCAGGTGTGACACTGCCACGGCCAGGTGTGACACTGCCAGGTGTGACNAGGTGTGACACTGGCGGGTGTGCCTCTGCCAGGGTGACATTGCTGAGTGTGACACCGCCAGGTGTGACATTGCCAGGTGTGATGTGTGACACTGCCAGGTTGACACCACCGTGTGTGACACCGCCAGGTGTGCCACTGCCGGGTGTGACATTGCCAGGTGTGACACCGCCACCACCAGGTGTGCCACCACCAGGTTTGACACCGCCAGGTGCGCCACCGTCACTCTGTCGCTGCAGAGCGCGGCTCTCCCCACCTGGTGGCAGCGCCTGGTGCAGAAATCGGATTGTTCCTCCCGGAAAAGCATCGCCATCCTCCACACCGCGTGTGCTGTGACCTCCGGGGGGTGGACATGGACCCTCCGGCCCCTGCCTGACCATCCACCCCCTCTCGCGGTCAGGGAAACCTCCGGCTGCATCCCCCGGGAAAGGATCCCGCATCCCCCGGGAAGGGATCCTGCATCCCCCGGGGAGAGATCCCGCATCCTCCGGGGAGGGATCCCGCATCCCCCGGGAAGAGGGGATGCTACACCCGCAAAATCCTCCCTGGAGGACTCGAGTTTGGTGTTCCCAGCTGCCAGCAAAGCAGCCGGGGCACGGCAGGCGGCAACGCGGCTCCATCTGCTGCAGAGCTGGCCGCCGCCTCCTCCTGTCGCATCCCCTGCTGGCCGAGCAGACAGCGGGGACAGAGCTGTCCCTCGCCCCGGGGCACAGCACGGGGCTGCAGAGCTGCTCTGGCCTGGAACTGTCCCCCTGCCACCTCTCCTGGGCCAGGGACGGGGCAGTGGAGTCCCCTGGTGCTGGGCACAGCTGTTCTGCACCGCGCTGTGCCAGCTGGAGCGCCCCAAATGCGGTGACAGCACCCCCGAGGAGCTGCTGGGAGCAGCCCTGGCCCTGCTCCAGCCCAGCTGGGTCCATCCCCACTCCCCCCGGGCCCTCTTCCCATCAGCTCTGCTCCCAGCCCCATCCCCAGTTCAGCACCTGCTGTGTCCCGGGCAGAGCTGCTCTCACCCTGCTGCTGCTTTTGGCTGATTCTGCCGGGATCAGCGGCCCAAAAGCACCCGGGGCTCGGGGAGCAGGGACCTCGGTTCCCCCTGCAGACCCAGCCTGGCCCCTGCCCTGCTCCCAGGAGCTGCTTTGTGCAGGAATAAATCATGGATGAGGCAGGGAAGAGCCTCCATTAGCTCTGGCAGTCGAGCTCAAAAGCTGCTGAAGGTGATGTCCAGATGTCCCAGCGAAGGTTCCAAACCCCCTGCCAACCACGGGCATTATTCCTTCCACTAGCACAGGCTAAAGCTGTAAAAATAAGACATTAAGAGTAAAATATTTTGAATTCTTCAATATTTTCACTTTTTAATCGCCAGGCATTTGAATCAGAATTCTCAAAAGCTTCCACTCACTGGTTTTTGCCTCACCTCCAGTTCTTTATTCACACCTCTCCTGGGTTTTCCAGCATTACCCAGGAATTGTTGGGGTTTTTGGAACATTTTCCTTCCTGTGCCCTTGGAGTTGGGCCAGATCTGCACCACAAGGTCATGCAAGAAACCAGGAGTGCCTGGCTCCTCCTGCCACTGATCGATCCCAAATCAATCATCTCACAACCTTTCATTAAACCCAGCTTTTCTGAGCCCGTTTAAAACGCACTTGGGGCAGCTCCAGCCCCGAGGAAGGGGGGCTGTGCCGGGAGGCAGCGGCTCCATCCCCCTCACAAAGCTCCCACTGGGGCACTATTCCCGTTCCCAGGCACTTTGGAAGTTTATTTCTTGAAAATTCTGAAAAGTGAGGAGCAGGGGGATGGCCCAGGTGGGGAGAGACCGAGCCCAGCACCTGGAGCGGGGAAAAAACACGGAAAACAAAAGGTGGGAGACAGGGAGAGGGAAAATCCAGTGGGAAAACTGTATTTAAAAGGATTTTATGAGGTTGATGAGCAAAACAACATCACTGAGAAGAGCTGCCAGCTAGTTCAGAGGAGATTTTGAGGATCACTGCATCTCCCTCCCTGAACTGCCCATTCTGAGAGGCGAGGGGAGGATTTTCTTTTGTTTTCATGAAAACAGGGGGCAAAGGCCATGACACAAAAGTGGAGAGCTGATGCCAGGCTGGCTGAGAGGGGCCCTCCCCTGCCCCACCCCGCAGCCCTCGGGAACAGAGCTGCCTTTAAGGGAAATGCCAAGGAAACTGTGGTACAAGCGGTGCAGGCCGTGCCAGGCGGTGCCCAAGGGAAGGGCACAGAGCTGTGCAGCTGCTGGGGGCTCTGGGCACCTCTGAGCAGCTTCACCCTGGTGTGATGGCTTCACCCTGGTGTGATGGATCCACCCTGGTGTGATGGCTTCATCCTGGTGTGATGGATCCACCCTGGTGTGATGGATCCACCCTGGTGTGATGGATCCACCCTGGTGTGATGGATCCACCCTGGTGTGATGGCTTCATCCTGGTGTCACAGCTTCACCCTGGTGTGATGGCTTCACCTCAGTGTCACAGCTTCACCCTGGTGTCACAGCTTCACCCAGGTGTGATGGCTTCACCCTGGTGTGATGGATCCACCCTGGTGTGATGGAGTCACCCTGGTGTGATGGATCTACCCTGGTGTGATGGATCCATCCTGGTGTGATGGAGTCACCCTGGTGTCACAGCTTCACCCAGGTGTGATGGCTTCACCCTGGTGTGATGGATTCATCCTGGTGTCACAGCTTCACCCTGGTGTCACAGCTTCACCCTGGTGTCACAGCTTCACCCTGGTGTGATGGCTTTATCCTGGTGTCACCGCTTCACCTCGGTGTCACAGCTTCATCCGGGTGTCACAGCTTCACCTCGGTGTCACGGCTTCACCCAGGTGTCACGGCTTCACCCAGGTGTCACGGCTTCACCCAGGTGTCACGGCTTCACCTCAGTGTACTCCATGCCCTTGGATCCCTCGGGGCTGGAGAATGGACAGAAATGTATTTTCCTCTTCTTTGGGTCCACGTTGACGTAATCCATCCCAGACTTCACGTTCTTGTAGTCCTGGGCAGAGCCTGGCTCGTGGCCTTTCCCTGGGAACACCAGGGATGTGTAATGGATTCCCTCTGAGCCAGGGCCCTGCAGGAGCAAAATGAACCCCAGGTCAGGCCCCAGCAGCCACCAGGAGCCTTGGCCCTCGAAGCCATGCAGCACTTCAGGGAATCATGGAATGGGGTGGCTTGGAAGGGACTTTAAACCCATCCCATTCCCCCTGCCATGGCCAGGGACACCTCCCACTGTCCCAGGGTGCCCCAAGCCCTGTCCAGCCTGGCCTTGGACACTCCAGGGATCCAGGGGCAGCCTCAACTTCTCTGGGCACCTGTGCCAGGGCCTGCCCACCCTCAGAGAGAAGATTTTTTTTCCTAATTTTCCTAAAGTGCTCAGGGATGCTTCCCTCTGAATGGGGGACATTGGAATGCTGCGTGTGACAGGGGACAGCAACCACCCCAGCCCTTATTTATGGAATTCCAGTGTGGTTTGATGGATTTTCCCCTCCTGGTGCTGCTCTGGGGGTCTCGAGCTGGACACAGCTCCAGGTGGGCTGAGGATGTTTTTCCCCTGGTACCTGAGGGCAGGAAGGGCTGTCCGAGTCCTCTGAGGTGTCTGAAGATGTGTCACTGCTCCCTTCAAAACAGGAAACATTTACCACCCCAGCACTTCCCAGGGCGTTAAAGGGAAAAAAGGGATCAAGGGACAAAAAGCAAATGTGCTCAGGAGTGAAAATTGCAATGCACAAAGCATCAGTTGGATCCTTCCCAGCCTCACTTCCCTGGGAGAAACGGGGCAAGGAGAGCCCAGCTGGGCGTGATGGGAAGAGGAGGCAGCTCCTGCTTGACCCTTCACCCACCCCTCGTTCCACCCCCGAAGAGCCAGAAGACAAATTCCCAAAATTCCTGTGCCAGGACAACTCCCCACTGCTGCAGGAGCCCCTTACCTTCATAGGCTGGTGATGGGTTTTGTGCTCTGGGATTTTGTGTCCTGTCCCCTGCTGGTGACGAGGCCGGGGCTGGGCTGGGCTGAGCCCTGGGATGATCCCCAGGGCTGCTGCTCCCACGGGAATGTTGGGCTGTGACCAAGAGGAGAGTGAGCCCTGGTCCCTGCTGTGCCCAGCCCACACCTGCTCCAGCAGCCCCAGTGCAAACCAGCCCACCCCAAAATAATCATTGCTGTGCACTGGAGCAGCTCAAACCCATAAATTCAATTATTGAGATGAGCCAGCGCCCTGCTCTCCCACCAGGAGACAAATCACAGTGTCAGAGCCTCTTCTTGCAAGTTTGGAATGATTTTGACCCAAAGCAGAGCTGGGCTTTGTGCAAGTGTCAGCAGCAGTTGGTGTGAAAGAACTCCCTGCTAGAAATTGCAGCTTCATCTGAATTAATACTCTGTGAGCTGATTCTTGGTATTTTTCCCAGCACTTCACTAAAAGAGCAATAGAAGAAAATGCTTTTGAAGCAACACAAGGTTGTCCAAGCCTCACTGATGTGTACAAGCACACCACCCACAGCTCACAGCCAGCCCTGAGCAGCTCAGCCCTGCCCCTTTCCCATCCCACACCCAACCCCAAGCCAGGAAATCACCAGGGAAAGCCATTCTTTAATTACCAATTTTCCTGCTGAGCATGATGTAAAGGACCAGCAAGAGCAGAGCGTGGAGCACCAAGGTGCCAAGTGAGGTGACAGCAGGAATCCAGCTGAAGGAGAGAAAAACATTCAGCCTCAAGGAAATCACCAAACTCTTTGCATCTTCTTTGCAAATTCTTCTCCCCGTGGCTTCAAGGCACGTTTGAGACTCAGGTTTGCTGGCAGCTTTTGGTTTTGCCTTTTGTTTTTGGGCTGATGTGTCCCAAAGTGCAGGGCTTGGCTTTCAAGCTCGATTTGAGTTCCTTGCCCCTTGTTTTTGGGGGTTTGCAAAAGCCTCAGGGCCAGAGGGGGAATGTGGTGCTGGAGGGGAGAGAGACACGACAGGCGTGATGGAATTCGAGAGTGCTGGAATTATGGAATGGGTTGGGTGGGAAGGGACCTCTGAAGGTCACCCCCTGCCATGAGCAGCGACATTTTCAGCCGGATCAGGTGGCTCAGAGCCCCGTCCAGCCGGGCCTGGGATGGTCCCAGGGGTGCTGTGAAGGGCTCTGTGCCCCGGGGTGCTGCACTCACCACGCACAAGAGCTCATCCTCCCGCTGAGGTGTCTCCAGGGGGACACAGAGAGGCAACAAGACCTGCTGGAACCAAAAGAAAATTATCCCACTGAGCCTCACGCTGCTCCACATGAGCTGGAGGTCAGGCTCAGCACTTGGAAGCAGCAGTTGGATGTTGCAGATGTGAAATGAAATAAAGGTTATTTATTTTATCCCAGCCTTCCCACTGTGAGAATTCCTCTGGTTCACACCCTCACAGAGCCACGGGCTCTCCCTTATCACTGAATTAATGGTTTTATACGTGGTCATATCTAAGAATCGTCTGGACTTTCTGGGCTCCACTGAAACAGAATTGAAATTTATTCTTCTTGCTTTAATCCTCTCTCACGATTCATTTTTTTTTTTCTTTTTCTCTTTTTAATCCACAAAAACCAACCAACCAACCCAGAAAACTACAAGATGAAATAAAAATAAACCACCCAGGGTAGAATTAACCAAAGGAAGGTCATGGGTTGGTGTGAGACTCTTGCATCAGCCAAAGCCCAGACTGAAATATCAGAGGCCCTCCAACACCTCAGTGCCTGAAACACCTCAGATTTAATACTGGGAGAGCTTCAATCCTGCTAAGGTTAAGAGGATTTAAGGCAGAAAACCCAGCCCCAATGCCTGGAATGAGCCCCTTGGCTTGGGACTTCGGGCTGCAACACTCAAAAAGTTTATAACAAAAAAAAAGAGCTGCTCATTATGTAAAAATAGCAATGGGGTGTTCCTTTTGTGAGCTTTCACTTGCAAAAAAAGCACTTTAAATCTTCCCTCAGTGTTATACACTCACTATTTATAAATGGCTGATAGAGATCTTCAGCTGAGGCTTTGATATGGTGATTAAAGCAGCCATGATAATTTGATTGATAGGTTGATGGATAAATTGATAGAGCAAAGGCATTATCCATCCTGCAGAGCAGATTCTATCATTTCCTCTGTGACACATTTCTGAGCCTAATTCATCAAAAGCTTTCCTGATAACCACCAATCTCCTGTGAAATTCCACTCATGCAAACAGTTTGATGACTGCCAAGCTGAAAGTTCATTTTTTTTTGCAGGAATTTTCCCCCCTCCCTTACTGAAAAAAAAAAATCTGTCCTCAAGTATCCTTCTCGAAGGGCTGCCACTCTCAAAAGGCTCATGGGGCAGGAGATGCTGCTGCAGCAGCAGATAAGAATCTGAAAAATGAGCTGCTCAAAAGGAAATTGCAAAATAAGCCCCAAATATCAGCAGCTTCTGTGCTGAGATGGGTAGGGTGAGATGGAGGCGCTGATACAGGGTGGGTATTGAAAAATCTGACTTGAGACAGCAGCCAGTGAGAGCCTGGCACCAAATGGGATTTTTTGGGTGTCTCAGGGAAATTCTGTGAGCCTGAAACACCCAGGATTTCTCAAGAAAATGCTGAAATCAAGGTTTGCAAGGAGCTGCTCCTCGGCTGGGCAGCCAGGGAGGTGCCTGAGTTCTCCCAAAAATGAGTGAAAGCTCCAGAACACCCCAAATTATTTTAACCCAGCTTGAGCCAGGCCCAGCTGGAGTCTAGAAATGCAGGGACGTTTCTCTGTCTCTTCAATTCTTCAAAAAATACATCAATCATATATAATACTGACAGAAAGGCTTCCAAATATCGCTGAGCAAGCTAAAGTTTGTAAGAAATTAAATAGAAAATAGAGAAATGTTTATTTTATCACTGAGAAATATAGATTTTAAAAGGGTTGCACACATGGAGTAAAGATGGAGGAAAAAAGGTGAGGTTTTTAATCCTTCCTCTTCCTTCTCCTCCTTGCTTCTGCAGTTTTTAGAAGCACAAAGAATGATTGGTTTAGAATTAGTTGAACTTTTAATTACGTGAATAGATATATTTGTTGAGATATAATAACAATACACGAGTCTGTAGTTAATAGGGTAAAAATTGGTATAAAAGTGAAAAGACAGCGTGGCTTGGGGGAATTTTGTATCATCAGAAGGAAATGAGCCAGGCTGTGGTGATTTAGGCTTGTGCCATGTTTTTGTAAGGATCCTTCAATAAAGACAAGAAACCAGAATCTAATGAGGCTGGGAGTTTTCTTTTAATAATAAGGAGATAAGTGGGATTCCCCACGAGGGAGGATCCCAGGGGAATTCAGCCCAAAGGAGGCTGAGAGAGAGAGAGAGAAAAGTTATATCCACTGAGAATTCAGCCCAAATGAGGCTGAGAGAGACTAGAAAAAAGTTATATTCACTGAGAATTCAGCCCAAAGAAGGCAGAGAAAGAAAAGTTATATCCACTGAGAATTCAGCCCAAAGAAGGCAGAGAAAGAAAAGTTATATCCACTGAGAATTCAGCCCAAAGGAGGCTGAGAGATCAAAGCTACAGACTGGAGCTCAGGGTGGCACCAAGATGTGTCCAGGGGGATTCTCAGCCCAGTTCTCCTCCCGCTGTTCCCCCTCTGCTCCCGCGGCCGGAGCGCGGTGCCCAACGCGGATTTACCTGGGGGTCAGAGCTCTCCACACCGTCCCTTCCCCACGGCTCTGGGGCAGCTGGGGCTGTGCAGGCAGGATTTGGGATTTGGGGCTGTGCAGGCAGCAGGATTTGGGGTTGTGCAGGCAGCAGGATTAGGGATTTGGGGCTGTGCAGGCAGCAGGATTAGGGATTTGGGGTTGTGCAGGCAGCAGGATTTGGGATTTGGGGCTGTGCAGGCAGCAGGATTTGGGATTTGGGGTTGTGCAGGCAGCAGGATTTGGGATTTGGGGCTGTGCAGGCAGCAGGATTTGGGATTTGGGGGTGTGCAGGCAGCAGGATTTGGGCTGTGCAGGCAGCAGGATTTGGGATTTGGGGGTGTGCAGGCAGCAGGATTTGGGGGTGTGCAGGCAGCAGG